ATGAAAGGCATCCCCAAGAAGGTAATACTTGGTACTGTAAAAGAAAAATTTGAAGGGGATGTGGTAGCTTTGTATGAACACCTTTACGCAGGCTACCCACTTAGTTTTGATTTATCAAAGTATGGTCCCCACTTTGTTATTGAAAGGGACTTTAGAGTAAGAACTCTTGATGAGTTCAAAAGAACAATTAAATTTTAAAAAAGAAGCTCTCAATTAAGTCTAATTGATTCTTTTTCTATCTATTCTGTTATTTTTTATTTAAAAGAACATCATTATAAAGTGTTTTTCCGTACTCTTTAATAACATCTTTTATTTTCTTTCCTTCACTAATTTCTGTGAGTGCTTTTCCATTTGTTTCATACCATTTTGGTACTCTATCTAATACTTGATCTATTATTTCACCACCTGGAAGAAATGATGCTATTCCTTTTGAAATAGGAATTATTTTAGATGCTATAGTACCTGTTGTTTTATATAACTTCCCTCCTATTCCTGCTATTTTCTTTCCTGCTGTCTTAATTATATTCTTTAACTTTTTAATAAAACCAAATTTCATTAAATAATATTTTTAGTTATAAATAATCATCTACTTCATCTTCATCTATTTCTTCATCTATTTCTCCATTCTTATCATATTCTTCGTTATTATTAAGTCTATTAGCAAATAATAAAGGTTTTGATTTTGTTTTTGGTTTTAATGAAACATGTTCAGGTACTTGATTAATAATTTTACTTGCTGTTTTAGTAATATCATTTGGTATTTCATTTTTAACTTGATTTAAATATCTTTTAGTTGCACCAACAACATTTTCACCTGATGCTATTCTATTTAATACTTCACTTGTAGGTTCTGCTATTTTACTAATTACTTCTGTACCTTTTTTAATTATTTCACCACCTGGAATAAAATCTGATGCTATAGAAATAAGTGGTTTTGCTTTTTCAATTACATTCCCACCAAATTTCGCACCAGAAGCTAATAGTGCTGCAACTTTCTTTAATCCTTCTTTAAATCTCTTCCAATTACCGAACTTCATGAATGAAATAAAAGATTGAACTAAGAAATCAAAATAAACAAGATGAATTATA